CTATCTATCTATCTATCTATCTATCTATCTATCTATCTATCTATCTACCACACTTGTTTACAAAGAAGCACCAGTTTTATTGCACTAGTTGAAGCAGAAGAGGTTATAATCTGTCACTGCTTCACTAGTAACTCAATCAATCAATCAATCAATCAATCAATCAATCAACTTTATTTATACCCTTAGGTAGATTTGGTTACAGTGAGGTGAGTCAGCTTTCTTGCCAGACGAGAAACTTGACATAGACACACCATGAGTATTAAAAAATAAATATAACATGATTTAAAAATCATTTAAAAAATGGCCTGGTGCTATGCTAAGTTGAATTTTGGAAGCTTATGGCAACAGGAACAAAACTGGTTTTATACCACTTAGTTTTACATCTGGGAATCAAATATCTGCGTCATGATGGGAGGAGCCTGAACTCAGTGCACAGGATGAGACACATCTGTTAAGATGGATGCGGATAACCTCTGCACCTGCCTGGAGTACAAGGATTCTGGGCTTATCTGCATCTCACCCGTCATCTTACTGGACCATTTGACTATCTGGTTCAGGCAGTTCTTGTTTTTAAGAGTTAAAATACCAAACCAGGACACCAAGCAGTAAGAGCAAACCGATTCAATAAAAGCTCGATAAAATCAAGTCAACAAGGTTTTATCGATGTGGAAGGAAGAAAGTTTCCTGAGGAAAAACAGGTGCTGTTCCCTTTCTTATAGACAGTTTGCCTCAAAGGTCACTTTACTGTCAATAAGTGTACCCAGATATTTGCAGGTGTCAACAACTTTCACAGCCTGCCCCTTTACAAGAGTAGTTTCCTGTAGTGTTTTCTAACATCAATAATCATGCTCTTAGTTTTTAAATATTCATCTGCAGATAGGATTCATCACACCACTGACTGAAGTCCTTCAGCACAGGGCCTGTTTCGTCCTCATTAAGCAGCTGACAATGACCTGCTTAATGAGAAGACTCAGAAGTCTCAGCATGTTGGCTTTCTGACACACGAGTGGATCACTAAACCAAAGGAGTGGATAACTAGATAACTAGTGACCATCAAACATTCTCACATCGGAACCAGTCAACACCAAGGTTGCACACTAGCACTAGTATTAGTACTAGTATTAATAGTTTGCCTAAATTATTAATTCTAGTAAAACTCAAAATTTTTACAAGCTGACAAGTGTGGTTTATTTTGGCTTTACCAGTTCCATGTTAATGACTAAATTACACTTTGGTTGACACAGTAAAGATTTTTTTATTTTACCTTAGTAACCATTTGGTACAACTAATTTTTTATTTTTTTTTAACCACTAATTAAATATGTCTAAAAGTTTACATTAAATTGCACTAGGTAAGTCCTCTGAGCAGGTTCTTCCTTGCTTTTGTTGTGTTTTATCAAAAGACTTCTTGAGTCAGAGGAGCTGCAACAAACAGTCTTATTATAAGCAGCATCTTCTCATAGTGGATCAACCAATTTGCTGCTGACAACCAGAACTAGTTGTTCACATGCAAAAGGTGGACCATCGGCCTAAGAATTTGTTGTTAGGGCTCTGATGGCCACTTGCTATTCACAGAGGGCTGAGTGATACTTGCACTTACGGATTGATTTTAATATTTTATTGCTTGT